AATTCGTCAAATATTTCATTCTTGTAAAAAACATATTAATCAGATATCAATAATCACTTAATCAATTTACATTTTTGTCAACAAATATTTTAAAAATTATATTTACCGTTGACAGAAATGTGAACTGATCAAGTGGATGTTGATATTTGATCAATGTGATTTTTTTTTTTTTTTTTTCAGTTCAACATATTTTAACATATGATAGAAGGACCACATTGGGCATGTTTCGATGGTCCGAATAGTTTAATATGTAGAATTCGTCAAATATTTCATTCTTGTAAAAAAACATATTAATCAGATATCAATAATCACTTAATCAATTTACATTTTTGTCAACAAATATTTTAAAAATTATATTTACCATTGACAGAAATGTGAACTGATCAAGTGGATGTTGATATTTGATCAATGTGATTTTTTTTTTTTTTTTTTTTTTTTTTGTGCAGGAATGAAATACTTGACGAGTTCTACACATTTAACAGTTTGGATTATCAATTTGGACTTCATTGTGAGCCCACAGAAACCTAACAACACAATCTAATTCGATTAAGACTAGAGACAAACTCAAGCCATATAAAAAATTAAATTGATTAAATATCTGTAATCACATATCTAAAGTTACATGATCATAATATAGTTTTTTAAATGGTATTATTTATTCTTACTTTTTTTTCTTAGGATTCTCCCACATCTTTCTTTCTTTCTTTTTTTTACTTCTAATTCTATTTAAATATAAAATTTTATTTTTTAAAGACAAATATAATGATTAATTCTTTTCATAAATAATCTATTTAACAAAATTTAAAAAATAAATTAATTAAATCAACTTGGGAGACCGAGTGACCTGTATTCGCGCCTTAAAGTGCAGTGAGTGAAATATTTGTAGTTTAAGCTTATGGATTAGCGACAATCTCTTTAAGTTGTAACTTAATTTTACTAACATATAGTAACCTCCTATCTTTGATAATAAAATAAAATAAACTCGGGAGATCGGAGTAGGCCTAATGAAGGGAAACGGGGATACTGTTGTGACTAACGCACAATAGTTATTGTTGTGCTCTTTGTGGGAGGTCGTCCTAAGTGTTTTTCGATGATATGAACCATTCATATTATAGAGTTCATCAAGAATATTATTCATGTAAAAAATCAAGTTAATCAGATATTTATAATCCCATGATTAAGTCCTAATTATTTTTAAAAATTTATGAAAGTTATGTTAATCGTTAATTTTTATAAAAATAAATGTGCCTTGGTTATAGGACTACAGATATCCAATAAACTTAATTTTTTTGTATAAATGATTTACTCGATGAATCCTACAATTGAGTAGTTCAGATTATCAAAAAATATTTAGAACAACTTTTCACAAAAAGTACAACAATAACTATTGTGTCTTAGGTACTACAGTATCCCCTTTCCCCAATGAAGGAGACTGCACCCGTAGCAGGCACGAGCACCCCGTGCTTGAACATTACTACCCTTGTCTAAGGCCTCGTTTGGCATGCGAGAGTTTTAGCCTAAAAATAAAAAAATTATTAAAAAAATCAAAAATTCTATAATCTTATACAAAAAAGTCAAAGATTCCCTTTTCTCTCTACTTTTTGCACATCTTTTCGTAAACAATCAAAAAGTTATTCCAAACATTCTAGTTTTTTTTACCTCATATTTTAGCCAAAAAATTAAAAAGTTACTGCAATAGTCTTTTTCCAAATGAGGCCTAAATTGGTTAGAGTTTTACGTAAAAAAAAAAAACTTACCATTGACTTTGCCTTAAAAAAAAAGCTCATTATTGGAGGAATTATTTATCCTCCGTTTGGTTTAGTTTTAGAATTATAATTTGAGTGTAGAGTTGTGATTTAAGTATGAAATTATAAATTGAGTTTTGGAGGGGGAAAAAAAAAAATTTGTTTGGTTATAAGATTTGAAAAGAATTTTAAAAAATGTTTTTGAATTTTGAATTTTGAAAAGAATTTTGAATTTTATTTTGTAAGAAAATCTATTGACATTAGTTATGAGAAATCATTTTTATTTTTTTAATATTTTGTTGAAATTGTTAAATTTTATACTTTAAACTCTATGTTTCATAGATCAAAAGGTATAGGTCATGTATAGCGATCTCAGTTTTTACCCGACTCTTGTGATGTTCCGGGCTCGGGTTTAATGCTTTCATATTGTTGTCTATCTCTTTCTTCCCTTATATACCTTTGAAATTTGTCTTTAGGTTGTTATGGTTGTGTTTGGAACAAGTTGATTACTTAGTTTTCAAACTTTGTGTTGCTCAGATTTTTGGTCTTACGCTCGAGCGTCCATTCTTGCGCTCGAGTGGGCTATGTACATTTTGGTCCTCGGTCGCTCGAGCGGGAGTTGCAAACTCTCAGTACTTTGCACTTCTGCAAAAGTGTTGGATGAATGTTTTTCACGCTCGAGCGGCGTTTCTTACGCTCAAGTGGGTGGGCGCTCGACCGTCTCTTCTTGAGCTCGAGTGGTTGGTCTGTCGTTTGCAAGAGTTCTGGAGGTGTGTATTCTGCGCTCGAGTGGGCCTCTTCTTGTGCTCGAGCAGAACAAATCTTTGTGTCTGACGCTCGAGCGTGAAACCCTCCGCGCGAGCGGACTGCGCGTATATCAGATCGCGAAAAGCACTTTTTATATCATTTTTTCATATCTTTTCAACCAAAACCCTAAAGTTGAGAGCCTCTCTCTCTAAAATACTCTCTCTCTCTCTCTCTCTCTCTCTCTCTACATTTTGGCCTAGATCCTTTGATCTCTCCACCCTACTCCCTTTGATAAAAAAGTGGAGCTTCTCAAGATCTCTTTGAACCGATTAGAGTTGGATTTCAGTTTTTTTGGCATTTCTCTCATGCTTGGCTCGTCTTCTCTCTTTGAGGTAGAGATATTCTATACTTTAATATGAGTCTTAACCTGGTTATTTGTGGTTATGTATAAATGATGGAAATCTTGGGAGTTGTTGGGTAAACTTAGGGCTTGTTCTCAAATTGAAATAGGGGTTTCTATATTATGATCCATAGATGATTATAGGATTTTGAATATGAGGATATCTTGTGTTAAAATGATGAATTTTAGCCTTTGGGTAAATATTTGAATAAGGGGGAGATTTACCCTAAATGTGTTTTGAATATTATTTTGTATAAATAATGAAATTGATGTGAGAAATGTGAAATTGGGAGAAAGTGTAAATGAATGGTGTAGTTGTATTTGTTTAATCACCCATTCATGGAAATTTGATAAATTATCTATTATAAATGTTGTATATCTGTTTAGAAATATCTGTATTGGGCTATTGGTGGAGGATAACTATGATTGTTGTAGAAATTGCATGATGATTAGATGAATTGAAACTAATCATTTAAGTTTGTCATTGAATATGACGGTATGACTAAGGCATTGAATATGTGTTATGGATAGTCATTGTATATGACGATGAATTTAAATACATTGTATATGTATAATGTTTTGGGAGAAGAAATGGAATGTACTCCATTGTTTGGGAGAAGATAGGGGATAGACTCCATTGAGAATTAAGTTGGCCGGAGTGTCCAGGGTAAAAGTCTCGAAATCTTTTGTATACATGGGTGCCGACCCCACGGACGAAATTCTCGTAAAATGACAAGGTTGAAGTGTTTGTATGATGGTTATATGGATAGGGAACCACTGAGTTGTAGTTTCAGTTGGATCATTTGAAAAAATTTGTATATTTACCATACATTGTATGGTTATGGAAAGAATGTAAGTTGATTATGGATATTGAACATTTATCTGATACTTATATCTTAGTTAAACTTCATACATTGTATTAGATTGTTTTTACTGGGCTATGACTCACCCTACTTGGGAAACCATTTTCAGGTACCGGTGACATACTTCCTCCAAGGACATAGCTTGAGAGGACCTAGAAGCTTGATGCTCTATTTTGTTGTTTTGTGTTTAAATGTTTATTCAAGCCGATGGCTTAACATGTATAGAGCTTAGGACTCTCTTTTGTCGTAAACAAGTGATATCTTGTAAAGATGTAAACCTGTAGGGTATTTATTTTGTTAATTATTAACTAATGTTACATGCTATAGATTCAGGATGAACATTTATGAATGTATAATGCATGTAATATCTTTTGTAATATAAACTCTGATGATTGAAAGGATATTGATTCTATTATGTTCACTTCTCTTATGAATTGGTTTATCTGTAATATTTTGGGAGCGCGACATCATGCAATCACTTAATTTTTCTTTTTTTAATTAGAGGGAGAGAATCTATATAATTTGAAAATAATTAATAGTTAATAATCAAGCACTCTCTTCCACTGTATCAAAAGATATAGCTACTAGCCAGTAATAAGTGTACAATTTTATTTTTTTAAAAGTACAACACAAGGCCACAGTTGATCATGACTCGGCCTAAACTCGAGTCTTTACCACGGTAGGGGATGCTCTTTTTTGGTGAATATTTGGTAGGATGCTGGCTCAAACTTAGGCCAACATATAATATATAAAAGAGTTTTTTTAAATTGTAAGGGAGATCACCCTCTCTTGCCTCGTGTCTAGGTCCCATCCTTGGTACCCTCCTTTTACTAATCAAAAGCTCTGAGTTGGTGAAGAGAACATTTTAATGTAAAGACTAAAGTGTTGTTAGAGAGAAGTCGTGAGAGAATTATTTTGCAAATAAGAAAACACAAGGGCAAACTAGAACAAGGTTAATTATATACAAGATTAAGAGAAATTGCCATTGTTAGTGTGTGTTACCAAATGTCACAATGAGAATGTAGATAATGTATTTAGATTACGAATTTAAATAGAAATTTGCAAAGGAAAAGAAAAGCGGGGGTGAAACGTGTGGTCGGTCACACAGCCTTTTCAAATTATTACTTTTTTTTTTTTAGATAGGAGCCTCTTCATATTTGTAAAACAACAAAAGGTGAAAAAGGTGCTGCTTCTGCGTATTGTTCCTAACCCATACAAGGCAAAAGAAATGGGATCACTGATATATAACACAGAACAAGAACAAAATCTTTGCGTTCACCAAAACATTATACTGATTTCTTCAGCTTTTACCCCAAAACTCTCGATGAAGTGTAACCATACAAATATTCTTAGTGCTTCTTCTTAGTGCTTCTCAGAAGAAATAAACACACCCACATGGACATTCATCTAAGTGGCCAAGACCGATCGCAGATGACGAAATTGCCAGCAACAAAAAACTGGCTTTACAGTTGTTCATAGCTCTATACAAATAAACGGTAATTTGATTTCAATATATTCATCTTTTGATAAAATTTTATGGGCAAAAAAGAAAAAGAAAAAAAAATAAGTTCTCACTCTCTCCTCTGTATGCCTAATTACCAGTCAATCCGGTAAAGTGCTTCTTCAAGGCCCGGTCTTTCCTGTAATGATTTCTTCCCCCTCCTCCTCCCCTCCTCCCTCTACCCCTAGAATTCCCACGTCCCCCAACCTCGGTGACATCAGTCTCACCTTCCTGCTCCTCATTTGATTCTGTCAGCCTCTTAACCGCACCCAAAGGAAGGTTACCACCACGTCCAAGACCATGGATTAATTCTCTCTGGGCTTGATTAACTAGTGTCGCTTCATCGTAATTCGAAACCGCAACTGAATCTGCCACTTTGTAGCTGTAGTTCTTACCATCCTTGACAAAGAACTGAGGCTTCTTTCGTGAGTTCCATTTAGAATTAGCAGCACTTGGAGCAGAACTTCCAGCATCTGTCTCCCATGATTTTCCCCGATTTGAATTTATTTTCTCTCCCAGTATCTCAGTTTCCTCCACCCCTGAATCAGCAACACTGAGACCTAAATCATCAAAAGAGTCATCATACTCATCTTCATACTCGAGTTGGAGTTGCGATATTAGGCCAGCAGTCTTTGCCAAAACCTTTTCATCTCTGGAATCTAGGGCTGCAGAATCAGATGAGGTGACTTTAGACTTCCTGACAAATCTCCCAACTGAAGACGACGATGATGACAATGATGGGCCCACAGTTCGTCGATCCGTGATTGTAGGTGCCACATTGGTAGAGGGTGGGGGGGGCATAGGTTCGAATAGTTTCCCTTTCCCTTTATCGTTGCTGCTCACAGAAGTGGACTTGGGAGGTGGAATAGTTTCTAGTGACGGGTCCAGTGACTGTAAATCTTCATGGAGGGTTCCTTCCAAAATCCTCTGGATCACCTCTTCTGGATTCTGGTTATAGACTTCAAGACAAGCAGATAAGAAGCCCCTGCCATAGTCGGGGAAAAGGTCTCTTATTTGACTAATTTTGGACTCGACAATTGCAGTGTCTTCATCCACCTGCAACTTCTTGTTTGTCAGAGAGGTTGGTACATGAGGTATCTCCTTAGTATTGGCTTCCAAAGGATGCTTCGTGATTCCAGAAAGATATTGGAATTGTTCATCATCCATTAAAACCCATCCTGCATGATAACATTGGAAGTAATGATTTCACAAGCAAGGATTGATTCAAAAGATAAGTTTGCAAAATAATAACGAGCATATAGCGTACAAGAATGAACATTCAATAATCTGTGTGATGGTTCTCTCCAAGACATACTCTATTATACAGTAGTTGTTCTCTAAAAGGTCAAACAATCCCCAAGCATATTGAATAATCACAATCAGTTTTGTAGCAAATTGTACATGCTTAGCGCATGTTACATAAAAATACTCATTTTTTTATATGCATGATGCGGAATGCTTTAATAAATACTAAAAAAGTTCTGACAACTTGGTAAACGTTATGTCCGTACAGAAAGCCCCGAAGCTTTCATATCAAATTAGCAAATGTTTTATGAGATAATCATACCAGTCTTAGCAAGAATAGCAGGTATAAGCATATAGTTTTCCATGCTGCCCAGATAAACAAACAAAAAAAATATGATGATTGGCCACTTTTTTCCATGATACAGTAAATATATTCACATAACTACATACCACTTTCTCAAGCCATTGACAAAAACACCATCAACTTTAGAGGAGGGAATTTGTTTATGTAGTGTTTTGCAGCATAAGATATTTGTGTACCTCCTCTCCTCGTCTGTATAATTTTTTACCTCAAGTTGATGCATTTATATCCTGAATCAGTTGCTTCCCTGACGGAGGACATATTAGGAAACTAAAGCTGAAGGCTGCCTACAATATGAATTATGGTGGGTTTCGGATATGGAAAGCATTGAAAAAAGCTTGACATTTAGCTTGTTTTTATAAGCCGGATTGCAAGATTCTGGAATTAGTCGTAGCAATTCACTGGACAGTCATCGTTTAGGAGTTTTCAGGTGTTAATTCAAAGGTTAGAGTTTTGGGAGTGACAAATAAACTTTTTTAATGCAATAGTAACCCAAGAATAATAACTTAGTTGGTTTCCTACATAGAGCTCCTTAGAAATAACTCCATAAGATAAAGTTGCTCAAAGCATAACACAAAGCCTTTAAAACTCAACTCTAATGAAATAGTAACCCAAGATTCGTGGAAGAAGAATCTTAGTTTCCTACTTAGAGCTCCTTAGAAGTAACTCTACAATATAAAGTTGCAAAAAATATCACAGAAAGCCTCTAAAACTCAACTCTAAGGTGAGGTTGCATAAAGCATCAATTAAAGCCTCCGAACTCAACTCTACGTAATAGAAGAATTAAGGCCTTGTTTGGTTTGTATTTGAGAAACATGTTTTGAGATAAAAAGTACGAAAATTTGTTTGGTTTGATTTTTTTTCAAAAGATGTTTTGAAAAATTATTTTAAGAGAGAGTTTTGGAAAAAGTGATTGATTTGATGTGTATAAGAGAAAGATTTGTTTGGAAAATTTGTAAACCAAACAAGTTTCGGAAAAAAAATTTGAAAAAATTTGTTTGGTTTGATTACTTTTGAAAACTTATTTGCAGAGAATTTTTCTCAAAATTTTTTGAGAAACACAAGCCAAACAAGGCCTAAATATTTCTGCTAGTTCCGCTAATTATTCTGTTTTTTTTTTTTTTTTGTGTGTGTGTGTGTGTGTGCGCGCGCGCGCGGAAGATCTCTTCTTCTCTTTGTACATTCTCGCTTATCTTTATAATTAATAAAAGACAAATTACACTAACCTCCACTGAGGTTTTGAGAAAATATGACATATCTCATAGTTTTGGCATAACTACATTGGGCTCTCTTATGATTTTAATTCACATAACACTTGGCCCCTATTTCATTAATAACTCATTGGTTATTCAAATGAAAAAATGATGTTATCATCTCTTTCACACTGAAATATATATTTTTCTTTATTTATCCTTCTGTTTTCACACTATTTGCATTAGTTTTGGTCTACGTTACACGGACTCGGGTGCGGATATCAGATGTGGGTGCGTATCTAGGGATCGGACACTTCAAAACTAAAAATTGACGATATGTGGATATGAAGATGAGTTAAAAAAAAAGTTAAGAAATAATAGATTCTATTAAAAAAATAAATAACAAATAAAAATTATATTAGGCATAAAATAAATTGTATTACATATATAATTTAATATGGTATATTATATAAATTACATTGTATAAAATAAATTATATTAAAAAGGAGAGAGAGAGAGAGAGAAGAAAACAGAGCGGAGAGACGAAGACATCGAAAGTAAGAGAGGATAGAGAAGAAGAGAACAATCAAGAGTGAAAGAAAAGAGAGACGAAGAGAATGATCGAGAGAGACGAAGAGAGAGATGACAGATCGAGAGATAGAGAACAAAGTCGAGTGAGAGAAAGAGAGGGAGATCGAAGAAGATGAAAATCGCACCTAAGATGAAGATCGAAGCCCTAATCTCCATTTTCATAGTCCTAATTGCAGGTATGCCATTTTTCTTCTTCATATGCCGTATCCACTTTCTCCATGTCGTATCCCGGCCGGATTCCATACCCGTACCCATGTTGTGACGGGTCGTGTCGTGTCGTGTTGTGTCGTGTCGGCATGAGTACTTCGTCAAAATTGAGGAGTCCATGTAACATGGTTCCTTTAACCTTACTAAAAGAAAGATTGGTGTAATTATGCCAAAATGACGAAGGTAATTGTATTTTCTCCCATCCTCAAGGAGGATTAATGTAATTTACACATTAATTATTAATAAATCCTCTTTGTTGCTGAAAAAATTATAACTTGGGGATAATAAAACTTTGATTTTGATTATTCTAGATCAAATAAAAATTACATATACCCCAAAACGTAACTTGAGTCCATAAGATGGCGTATGAATAAACACTAAAAGCCATGTCCAATAAATTGTAAAATTACCAAAAGACCCCAGGCACCTGAACCATGATTATAAATATAACCATCAACAATCTAACACATAAAATACAGGGAAAAAAACTTCAATTCAACCAAAATAAGTTAATAAAATATCTAGAGCACGCTCCGTGTGAAATTTTAGATTATCCTCTTATCCCCTTTACATGCTTGCCAATCATTCCAAATAGTCATCATTAACAAACTTTTGAGAAAGGCCAAGTGAACAGCAGCCCAAAAAATTGAAAATATATGAATATTGGATCTATCCATGAAAACAAAACACAAATAAAACTTCAATACAAATAATTCAATAGAATAACTGTTCTTGACATTGTTCAAAAACCTAGTTCAATTATGCTTACAGAATGAAGAAAAAAATGGTATTACCTGCCTATGTCATTTGTTACCATGCTTCCACTTCTTCAACTTTAATTTTAAATATTTTACAAAATATAGAAAAATAAAGAATCCAAAGGCTTAGGCCTTTTGAAGCAAGAAGTGGAATACATTGCCTAAACCTTTTGTCTTTTTAAATTTTAAGTACTCTTCACACTCACTGTCTCAGCACTTAACACACCAATAAGAAGAAAAAAGTATTACTGTGTTGGTAGAGTAACTAGAGTTGAGCAAAATCTCTTCAAAACCAGCTTTTTTTAATAAGAATACATACCTGTACTCTGCAAAAACTCAACTCTCTCCATTATCTTGTGCTTTTTTTCAACATTTTGGAAAAATGTTGCCCAGCCCCAGCCCTCTTGAGCATATGAATATCCTCCACTGATTTCCCTAAAAGTCTGAACCAAAATGTCTGCCCTTATGACAGGATCCTCCACTTTTGCTGGGAACATCTTCGTGACAACTGGAAGGGGGAAGCTGCCTTCAAACACTTCATCACTAAGATAGCAAACATCTAGTAAATTCCAACCAAATTTCACTATCCTCATTGATAACATCTTCAAACTCAGAGTGATATTAGAAAGCATATCACCATTTGTTCCCTGAAGTCCATCTTCTCCTGTAGTAAAGATAATTCGAAATCCCCTCTGTAAAGATGGGAGCAATGAATCATGTAATCTTGCTAGGGTACTGAGCAATTCCTCATTTCCAAAACTGCATTTACAAAAGATTTAGTTGGATGGTGCTTCACAAGCAATTCAAAGTGCTGATAAAATGGAAAGGAATTGGACTTATAATTAAAGATATTGACAAGTTAGCTTGGTATTGTCTAATATGTATAGTTGTCTACATTCAGAATAAAACACAACCATAACAACTGGAAAATGTAAACATAAATAGCTTCAGAACCCTCGTTTCCCACTTTTTCACATTATTGACTGAGACAACCCGGATAACTAATCTTCACTTCCCATCTTATGCATTTTCTGTGTCCTTGCATATAAAGATGTGGAGAACTTTCCATTTTACCTAGTACCATAATGTCGCTAAGATGTGCTCATGTGCACTTGTTGCTTATGCTATTTCACATTACATTATAAATCTATTCCCCACCCCCACCTCTTTCTTGTTTCAGAATACAGAAAATTATCCAACCTTGAGCATACCAAGAATTAGTGATGCCACCCATTTACATAGCTACAAAACAAAGGAAAACACCAAACTCCTATTAAAAGACCCTGTGCACTCCTTACAACTCAAATGGTTCAATGAAGTCCAAAAATTGTTCCATGTTAGGATTCTCCCTCCCCAAGGTTCAACTACTTCGTTACATAGACTCTCCTAAATAAGTGAAGTACTCATGCTGGACACTTTACACAGGTAAAGGTATGAGATGTGTCCAGCATGTGTAGTTGGACATTTACCCAAATGTTTAGAATATCCCCCAAAAAAAGGCTCTATGTCACCTTGTAAACACCATTTAATTCCAAAAAATAAAAGAATATTAAGAAATATAATTATTTTGCTATGTACCTATGTCAATAGACTAAAAAACACAAACACTTCTAAGAAGATGCATGTCCATATCCAACACCAACACTCATTGGATAGTTCCCAACATGTATCAAACACATATCCAAACGTGTCATATTATTTTTAAAAATTTTAGACTCAAACATGCTTCAAACATTTAGGGACATGCATGAAATAAATTATAAACAAAATAATTTAGAGCTCTGCTATCGAAATCTTTCAATTCACAATTCAATTCATGATTCGATTTGCATTTTTTGCAAAATGGATACGAATCTATGGATGAATCTATTTTGGAAGTGAATCTCTAATGAATCGCACGATTCACAATCGATTCACGATTCGATACACTTTTTACGATTCACGCAATTCTTAAAACTATCGTGTCCAACATATTTTCAACTCCTTTTTTCTCCATTTTTTTAGTAAAAATGAGATAATGTAACTTCTAATAGCGTTTATTGCCAGAATAACCAATATATACGATTTTTTGTTATTTTAGTAATTATGATCATTGAGTTTTTAATAAGATCCAATCAGATTCAATCAAACACAACGGGTGTGTTTGGTTTATGTTTCGAGATAAATTTTTAAAAAATATTTTGGGAAAAGAGTTTAGAAATTTTTTTGGTTTGTTTGGTTGTATATTTTAAAAATAGTTTTGGAGTTTGAGATGATTTGATGTTTTGTTGTACTTCAGTAGATGTAAGTAAGAGCAAAAGTGATTGAGAATGAGAGGAAGAGAGAAAAAGTGATTGATTGATGTGTAGGAGAAAAAAAAGTGATTTTGAAAAAAAAATTCAAATAATTTGAACCAAACAAAATTTTGAAATTTTTTTTCAAAAATTATATCTTGAGATACAAACTAAACAAGCCCAACATGTTTTTCTTCTCATTTTTTTCCTTTAAAAAACAAAATCATAATATATCTTCTTCTAAAGATGTTTAAGATTAAAGAAACTTACACAATGAATTATCTATTGTTTTTTTATTAAATTAAATATAGTTAAATATTACATGGGTGATGTCAGTTATACCTTTTAAAATATTTTAGACTTTAAAATAAAAGATCCTAAATATTTTTTCTTATTATTTGGTCATTGTTACTTAGAAAAGTATGTATGCTTATTGTCCACATATCAATATCATTGTTAAATTATTGTTACTTTAAAAATTGAAAGTTTATCTTTGTTTACTTTCTTTATTAAGAATGGTTGATAAGAAATATTTAAAAAAGACAAAAAAGTAAAATGATGATCTTACATAGGAACCGTTGTTAATTTCTTACCTATTAAACTATGTGATCATCATTCAAAACAACATTTTCATTGATTTAAGTCTAAATATTTCATATTCATAAGATATATTTAACATCCAAGTGTGTAGATATATTTTTCTAAATAATTTAGAAAAAATGACTGAATCTTTACGATTCACGATTTGATTCGATTCGATTCACGATTCGGTACGATGCCATTTCGATTCATAATTCGAATCCCGATTTGACAACTATAATTTAGAGGATACAATGATGAAAGAAAATTAAGATAAATATATATCTATTGATCTCTCTCCTTTAAACTTCAGGATTAGTGTTTGTTGCATTTTGAATATTCATAGATATGACATATAATAAACATATAAAACTACATATTTTGTATGCATCCTTCATGTGTCATGTTGTGGGTCCTTGTTGTGTCCATGCTTCTTAGTCCTTTGACATGAGTAGAGATGGCAATTTAAACCCAGTCCGACCCCTTGACCCCGATTAACACGGGGATTTCTCAAAAAATACCCCCAACGGGCCGGAGACGGTGATAAGTTGTTCCACCCCGGCCCCAGCCCTGTTCCCCGTCCCGATTCTGCCCCGCCTCCCTCTCCTCTCTCACTCACCAACCCACTATATATAATATATACTCCTCTCTCTCTCTTATCACAGATCTAATCTAACAAAACTCCTCTCATCTCTCATTTCAAATCTCTCTCTCATCTCAGATCCCCTCTTCCTCCGCCGCTCTCTGTCTCTCGTCTCTACGCCGCCGTGGCCGCACTTCGCCACTTGATACCAGCAGCGCAACCAGTCTCCATCTTCTCTCCTCTCTCAACCGATTGAGACCTCTCTTCTCTCCCTGTGTCTGTGTGTGTGTGATGATGATGGCGACTCAGATCACAGTCTCAGATCTGCAGATGTGTGTGTGTGTGTGTGTGTGTGTGTGTGTGTGTGTGTGTGTGTGAGATGATGATGATGAGGGGTTCTGTACCTCAGCTGGCTGAAGATTGGTTATGAGGATGATGAGGGGTTCTGTCATGAAGGTGTGTGTGTGTGTGTGTGTGTGTGTGTGTGTGTGTGTGTGTGTGAGATGATGATGATGAGGGGTTCTGTAACTCAGTCACTGTCGGGAATGTTTCGGGGTCGGGGAAACCCGATCCCCGTTAGGGGACAGGGGTGGGGGGAGTGAGGGGTTCCCCATCGGGGATCGGGGGCAGGGATGGGGGGTTCCATACTTTCGGGGATCGGGGACGGGGAGGGCAATCCCCGGCCCCGCCCCGTTGCCATTCCTAGACATGAGAATAACATGAATTTGAATTTGATGCTTAAACACATTAACACCCATACCTAAGTCCATGTAACATAGACCAATATACAAAATGACCAAAAACGAACTCTTCAACCTATGCAAAGGTTGTTTTACACCCTTACGTGTCCTCATATGACATTCTCACCCCAAAAAAATCCACATTATGCATGGGGGAACCAACAATTAAGCTTTCCTCTGACATTTTCCATTGATCCCCCTCTCCAACAATGCAAAGCATCTACCAATACTCTGAATTTCCTAGGCATCCCAAAAATCACCAAAATCAATTCCCACAACTCCCTCATGACCTCAGTGAATCAGAAAATGGGACACATATTCCCCACCTTCCTTGCATAAGCAACACCAATTAACAAGGTAATATGTTACTCTGTTCTGACAGTATCGGCATAGCTACATTATCTTAAATAGACACAGCCTATCTAGAAAAAGAACCATCCAAAAAGACCTAATAGGTTACTGTGTTCATCCTCAAATTGATCATTGACTCATTGAACCGGTTACATTACAAAAACTAAAGCCATTATTTTATATTCATTCATTAGAATGATCGTTGAGTTGTATTTTATAATAGGTACCCATAATGCTCCTCAGATGTGCATTTGTGGTTGTTTCTGATGTTTGAAATTTTTGGAATTTTCATATACCAGCCAATTGTTCAATATCAAGCAAGGCAAGAATAACCAATTTCATAGGAGCCTGCCAATACCATGGCCAAAATTTATAAACCATGCAACAAGTAGAAGGTTCCGCTTCAAGATTTCTCAGTTCATAAATTAACATGTTTCTGAGGGTATGGCTACATGATCTCAAATAGTAACCAACAGATCTAGTAAACAACCCATTCATGAAAACCAAATGGCTTACCTTTCATTCATTAGATTAATCATCGACTCAATGAATCCAATAAATATGTTACAAAAACTAAACCCAAAACCGTGGATGATTGCATATCAATTCATATGGTAAAAACAAGTTTTAAATATCTGTCGTTAAGTAGTGGGACTTTAGCTTTATGATACTATTATTCACTCAGTTATCGACCGATATATGACCATATCACCAATACAATACATACCCCGTTATTTAAAAACCAGCTCCATTCTTAAGAGATAAATGTCAAATTTCCATCATAAGTTCGATACCTCATTTCAACAGGGCATGAGAAAAAGACGGCTGCAGGCTTGTATGCACTTACAAAAGCATCCATGGATACAATAGCATCATTTATGAAGTCCATTACCTGGGGAGAAAACCAGAAAAGTTCATAATCACTGAAATATAAGGTCATGCATCTGTACTAAAAAGTAAGAGAAAGAGGTGAAGAGACACTTTGTTTGCTCTGGAGATTATTTCCAAACAAAATTCTTCTTTCAGTGGCTTGCATAATTAAAGAAAAATAATTTTTGCCTGCATGGTGCCTGTATAAGAAATTTATGTTTAATACTAATTTAGAGAAACTTTTTCCTCCAATATTTTAGTGTAATCATTTGAAACTAGTCTCTAGGACAAAAAAAAAGGGTTTAGACCATAGAACAATCATGTTATGTAGTTTCTCCAAGGAAATAATCTCCACCGCAACAAACAAACAGGGACCAAAAAAATTATTTATGCATGAGCTATAACCTCCAAATAGTCTGCACAAAGCTGACTGGATCCATGATCTTCATGGCCATGAGAAGAAAATAGAACCTGTATAAAAATCCAGGGAAGAAATTTCTAGAATGATTTACAGATGTATGAACTCTTTAGTTGTAATGCAGCTCTTTGGAGAAGGCCAAAGAAGAAACTTAAGCAAAGATAGAACATCAAAATAAGCTAATAAATTCTGAAACATATATGTAGGGTAAATACAATAATACTACTCTCAAATTCCCACTTATATTCTATTATTCGCTGTTTGCAAACTTCAGCTTACACAGGGACACAATGATCTCAACATTATGTTACATGGACTCGAGTGTGTGTGTCAGGTCTAGGTATGTCTCAAAGCATCACATTTATCTAATCCTTCAATTTAAGGACATGAGTACACAACTAAACATTCATATTTTGTTCAATAAAAACTTAATTTATTTTCTAACATTGAATAGTACCTTTATGTAACATAAGAGCGTTTAACAATGCTACTTTACTCATATTGAAGCAACCATGCAATAGACAACATTGTTAGGGTAGTACATGTACAATACCAGAAACTTCAATTAATTGACATGCTTTTGGGTATATGCCAAAATCAAACATGGTAGACATATTAATACCTAGCCATCAATGTGTCCAGCACAGGTACTTCAAACACATTGAAGAATCCATGTAACATGGTCCAGAAAGGAGTTAAACTTCCTAAAAGATCTGACTATGGATAGGCAAAAGAACACAAAAATAAATTCAATAGCCTTAAAGGTCATCAAAAAAAAGAGGACGAAGGTAATGTAGGTGCTATTTTCTATTCAGTAAGTGCATAAACTGTACTCTCCTTCAGAAATCCCACTAGTAATCAAATTCATCCCAAACAACTTTTGACCTCCTCATTAAACCAAATTTTACACATCCGAATCCCTATTTACATAAAATTCACCATCACAAGACATGTTTTTTTTCACTTAACACAGTTGACACTTTGTCATATATTTTCATAGCCTTTCAGCACCTGAGATACCTAGGATGATTTCATCATCAAATCCACAAGAAGATAGGTTTTGATGAAAAATGTAGTTAACGACCGCTCAAAAATTAGTAATTGAGCTACTTAAGATCTCGATACAGAAGTTCATCAAAGACATAAATCACATGGATAAAAAAAAAAAAAAAAGAATAAAATGATAGGGCATCATTCAATGAGATAAAGATATAGATAGAAGTAATATGCAGAAAATAGACCCCAATCCAGTGAGAAAAAAGGTAATAGAATACCAAATTCCACCTTGAACTTGCAAGGGGGATAAAAGTGGCCTCCAAATTTTTTTATTTTTATTTTTTAAAGAGTTTCAAACCAAAATCCAACTCTGACGTTCTAGACAAATATACCATCTCTGGATCTCCCCAATAAAATCACTAAAGCCGCTCGAAAAAATACCAACTTAGAATTTGACAAGCATATCACACACTTGATGAGAATTAAAAATGCTAAAATATTCATATTTTAGGTATTCAAAATCTTCATCCAAAAACATTTTGGCCATACATACTATGAATTCAGATGAAAACCAAATCAACTAATGATTTTTAACTAGAAATGTCAAGTCAATAGCATACACTAAACAAAACCGTGGGTGAGTCAGACAAAAATCTAAACTCAACATTCAGATTTCAGAGACATAATACTGATATAAATCTAAAACACCAGCTACACAAAAAAAAAAAAAAAAAAAAAAAAAAAAAAAGAAGATTCATTCCATGATCAGTAAGACAAAAAGTTCATTGCGAAAGTATACCTCTAGAGACGCACTGCAACGTTGATGCATTGTATGGACAATTTTCAGGAAATGCGACAATGCAGCAATAAAACTATCATGGATACTAGGCTGGGCCTTCAAAGCATTCACAACCTGCAAAACATACTACATGTGAGAGAGAGAGAGAGAGAGAGAGGGGGGGGGGGGATCTTTGCACCCACAATTGGATTCAAAGTTTAAAACAATCCAAACTCCAAAGTAGCTGCTACACAGAGCAGGAGCAACAGCGGAAATTGGCACTACATCAGTTGACAAAATGTTGTGTTTCCTCCCAACAAGCCTGATCGATCAAGAAGTGAGAGGCTTCAAACAAACCAACAACAAAATTTAAGGTTTTGTTTGGAACTTGGATTTGTGGAGGGGGGAAAAATAAATATAAGTTAATTTCTTTTTCTTTTTTCCTTCCACAAGTCCAAGATCTAAACACAACATAAAATGCTCCATATCAAGGTAGTATGGTGTTAGCACCATCCTAGCACCATGATGTGGCATAAAACATGCAATAACTCGTCGTCAGGAATTCAAAGGGGTATCTAGAGTCTCCACAAGAATAAGAAATGATAAGGAATGCATGCATTGTTCAGAAAATGCCAATTGGCCATAGGGATGGAACGGTTGAAGTAAATGAATTCAAGAAGGATGTCTCTATGTTTGTGCCGCATCATGTTCATATCCATACTTTTTAGGTAGGTAGTTATCGTACTAAGGATAAGGGAAGGAGGATCAGAAATGACAAGGAATGCATGCATTGTTGAGAAAAGGCCAATTGCCCAAAAGGATGGAAAAATTGAAGTAAATGAATTCAAGAAGGATGTCGATGTGTCTATGTTTGTGTCGTGTTCATGTTCGTATCCATACTTCTTCGGTAGTTAGTTATTGTACTAAGGATATGGAAAGAGCAAGGACAAAACAGAACATATGGCATACCATCAAACCAAATGTCATCCTTGCTTTGAAACAAATATAGCTTTAATAAAGCCAGATTTTAGAATAAGTTTATGCAGGTGATCCAAAATAGTTGGGATGAAACTCGATTAAACTCTGTTAGCGAAGGCATCATAAGGATGTGATTTTGAAGAGCCAAGATTTTGTTAATTTATGTTAGCGATGGCATTGTGATTTTAAAGAACCATTGATCAAGTAACTGTAGGAGGCATTTGTTTCATTTTCGAAAACAGTTTTCTGTTATTGTTTTAAAAAATCAAATCAAAAATTTGTTTTTTGTTTTATGAACTATCCACTTTAGCACCTTCTGGTATGGTCCGATAGCACTTTACCCCCTATGTTTTAAAAATAGCCACATACCTCCCATATGGTTTTGGACCTAAGAAGCACGGACACGTGACACGACACGGATACGTGGACACGTAAATTTTCAAAAAATGTAGCATACGACACGTTAGGGACACGTTCAAAACATGTATTTTTATTATATGTATATTTTTAAATATTTAATTTGTATTCTATATCAAATATTTAATTTTACCAAATTTATCAACTTTAGGTATGCTATTTTAGTAAAAAAAATTAAAAATTATAATTTTTTTTGAAAAAAATAGTATCCTCAGCATGTCCCAACTTGTCCGCAGCGTGCCTAAAGTGTTCCAACGTGTCCAACTCTTTCCAGCATGTCTAACACGTGTCCGGAGCGTGTCCGACACCTATACGCGACCTCCGGAGAGGTGTCCGTGCTTCATAATTTTGGACTAAATTGCTTGTTACATTTTCCGTCCAAATAGGTAGAAATTGGGCAACACACAAAAGTTCAGAGTAGGATAAAAAATTCTATCAAAATCAAATTTGAATATGTAAAAGACCAAATTATCCTTCATTTCATATTCGTCCTTCAAAACTTAACAAAAACCCTAACCCTACCCTCCCACCACCACCCACTCCAACCTCTTCCACCACTAGCTCTCTACCACCACATGCCACTGCTCCTTGCCTTTCCCACCTCCCCATCCCTCCCTATACTCCCTCGCCAATGCCTCCCTCCTTGCGATTACAACAACTCAATCCAACGCTTCGGAACAGGCACACAAACATGGTAGAGCAGCTTTAGCCTTTCCTTACACGTTAATTTGTTGTTCTGGGTATAATTTGTGTCCTCCAATCTATCTCATTAGTCTCTTGTAATGTCCTGAAGGTTAGGATTCAAATCCTAACAATTTGCAATCTTAATATATACATATATATATATTTATGTAGTATATATAAATGTGCATGCATATGAACTTGCTACCAAGTTCATATATATATATATATATGAAAAAATTTATCGTTTAATTGTTATTAAATTAGTAATTACGTTAAAATTTAGTAATTAGGTTAAAAATTAAGAAAATCAAATTTCTTAATTGCTATTTGATTTAGAAATTTTCTTTTTAATTTTTTTATTTTACAAAAATAATGAGATGTAGACAAAGAGAACAAAGGGTATAATCATCTACTACACTTAGTGAGCTAGAATATGGCCAAGGCAAGCCCTTCATTATTATTAGTAAGATGGGGCAGAGGGATAAGCCTAGAGACGAGAGAAAAGAATGGCAAGCAAATGCTAATCAAGTTAGTGTTGCAATGCAATCCAAAACCACATGAGAGGCATGTGGTTATTTTTAAAACCCAGTGGGTAAAGTTCTCCAAGCCTATACCACATGAGGGGTAAAACTGATTTTACCCTCTTTGTTTTTTCAGAACACCCCATTTTTAAGGGAAACAACCTTACATTGTTTTCTAAATTATCAAAAACTACTTTTAAACGAAAATAATAAAAAAAATATGAAACAAGGTCATTTTTTAACTTCTCATACAAAAGAAAATCCAACAAAGCGGAGCGCAACACTGGGCATATGAAGTATGACCTTCTCAATATTTTTGTTTTCAAAAACAACCACGGTTTTCAAACAAGATAGAGAATGCTAATAAAGCATCTATTAGCTCTATTATCAACTCTAAGGGATGCAAGAGATGTCCTATTTTCACCGCCAAACAATATCAATAAAGTTGAATCATCATCTTGTGGATGACATATATTTGGCTTGTCATCTACTGTTAGCACCTTGATATTTGGGAGTTGACGGCTTAACACTTGGTGGCACCATGCGCCTATGTTAGGCTTGGACCGCGCCATGAGGGAGGCATGCCAATACAACAAGGTGGGCTGTGGTGGCACCCAACCCTTGGCCAAAGTATGGGCAACATGGCACGTGCATGGCAAAAATATGACCTTAATGCTATGCTGCAGCATACATGGGGGTTTGACACAATCAGATGGCATGATAGCAAGGCGTGGTGCACAATTTGGTTAATTAGCAAGGCAGTTAGGCTTGACCAAGACCAACAAATGGCACTCCGGGCTCTATTTGGCTAGTGACTTGAGAAATAAGGGAGCAGTTGGTGACAGTTATTTCTGTTTGTTTCAAATCTGTGTTAACCCATTGGCAGTTGGGGGTATCAACTGCCATGGCAGGTGGCATGTGTCCCTTATGTTTTGTAGCTTGTTTGAATTTCAAATGTTCTGATTGTAGCCTATATATATAGGCATGGCCATGCAAACTCGAATTCATCAAGCGTTTGAGAGTTCGGCATTTGGCTTTCCTTTGTAATTGTTGGTGCAATAATCAAGGTGGGTTTTCTCGTAATTTTTGTGTTGCTTATCTTGTATGTTTGACGAAATTTAATTTGTGTGTGTGAGTTGCATACATTGTCTGTGTTGCTTATCTTGTATGCTTGATGAAATTTAATCTGTGTGTGAGTTGCATACATTGTCTGAGACCAAGTGTTGGGACTTAGTGCCATTGCAGGAAAATTTTTATATATTAGTCCTGTGACATCTACCGTGGTGGACTTGACATAGGGTTCACCAATTAACTAATTGTGAGGCCAATTCATTCCCATGAAGAGAGGCATGATGACAAAGTTAACACCTCCCAAGGTGGGCAAAAGCTTGAAACTTAATGTCATAATTGTCTAGCAAAGTTTTCTTCTGTAACCTTTTAAAAATCTTCTAAGGATTTATTATCCCTCTGCCAACTTCTCTTTTCTAATAGATAATCTCATTGGTTGCCAAGAAATAAATAAACAAACTCCAAGAATATATATTTAACTTAAGGTCAAGCATTGTTACAATTTACAAAGCTTCCAACTTTCTGCTCAATAGGGGCAAAATAGGATTTAGATAACAAAAAAAAAGATGATAGATTTAACAATCTCAACTCAAAAAGAGCATTGCTTAAAATACCTAATCATTTACAATTACAAATAAGGTAGAAATGTGCATGTTTACCAATGATCTGGTCAAATCTTCATTTTCATGACCATATATAGCACATATATCCAACAACTTAGGCATGTCAAGTAACTTCTTTTCCTGCAAGAGGGCTACATGTGGAATTTGTTAATAGTGTCTTGATAATAAAGATGAATATCATAACAAGAACAAAATTTCATGTTTTCATAGTTTCAATGATCATAATTTTCCTAGGCAATGTAAGATGATAATTACTGGCTAAAATTTAAAATTTAAAGTAAATAATAAATGAGTAGGATAACAAAATGTGCCAAAATGAAAAATGAAAGAACAAACAACAAACTTGAGAGTTTTTATGGAATGATCAAATAATATTCGATTTTCGCATCTAATCTGATGACTAATGTTGATATTGAACACAAATTGGAAACAATAAATGCTCCACCCTAGACATTACCGTAAAATTTGGCATATTTATGAAGACAACATCATATTCTCAAAATCTGATACACATGAATAAGATGGGGACATAAAATCGTGCACATTTATGAAGACGACATCATATTCTCAAAAGCCAATGCACATGAATAACATGGGAACATAAAAATATGATAAGAAATGTTCGTAGACAATATTAATCGTCTGCATTCAACTCTTGAATCTAAATTTGAAAATATGCAGTCACTAAAAAGAAAGACACAGATTTGTCATAAAGAAGTATAAATAAACCATATTCAAGCTATTTGCATTAGGTTGCACCATGGTTCTAAATAATAGTATCAGAATACGTATCAATATCTATGATGCAGTCATATATTGGTTGACATTGGACATATGAGCTGATATATCAGTGAATAACAGTATCGTAAGTCCAAAAGCCCGTTACATATTGGCTAACACGATACATTAAAATAAATAAAACCAATATTTAAAACCCTAGGTTGCACTAATACAGTTATGACCAACATCCAGTACACCTCAGTCTTCCAACCAGGTTTAAACTTCCGAAGTTAAATTCCTAAGAGTGTCACTTAGAAGTTCCTTAATTATGCAGAAGTCATAGTGAAAGAAGACAACACACCTGTGTGGTCGTTTGGACTGAGACTATCAGCAGCCCTAGCACCAGGATCTCGATTGGAAGATCTGCAACAGGAGATTCCAAATCATGAACAACTGAAGGAGTGGCACAACTGCAGGGAAAAAAAAAAAAAATTGCAAAACATTGATACACTGAGAAACTAAAAGTTACTGGTGAAACTTACATGCGGTATAAGACCATGAAAAGACGCCTGCTGAGCTCAAATTCCCCTACAATGACCCCTGCAACTATTCCTTTTACTCCACGATATGGAAAATCATACCACCTACTCCTAAACTGTAGGAAGCTCTCCAAAAAGTTGTGCAAGGAATGATCGCTTACCACTAAGAAGCACCAGAAGAACAAGGATAAGAATAACAAGAACGAAAGCATCGGCATAAATAAAGATAATTATTAGGGGGACTTACGTGTAATTCCTAGTAGGTGGACTTATTATCGAATAGGTCTTATGATAATAATGGCATTTTTCATCAAACATTATTAAAATACGTCACTAACTGTTAATTTTCAGCGATAGTTTGAAAATTGTCACAAAAAAATCACTAATTATAAGTTTTAGCGACAATTTAAAAAAATCGTCGTAAAAAATGTCACTAATTTTTAACTTTCAGAGACAATTTGAAAAATTTGTCGTAGAAAAATGTCACGAAATGTAAATTTTAGTGACAATTTATAAAAATCATGACCAAAAAAGTCACAAATTGTCAATTTTTAGCAACATATGCAAAAAATTGTCACAAAAAATTATTTTTAGCAACGATTTTACTAGAACTTATTTTCAATAGGACTTGATGGGAATTAAGTCAAACAATTACTACCTATTGGTAGTTTACCCTTTTTATTACTAAGAATTTGAAAATAATTTAGTAATTAATCTAAGCGCACTCTTAGCATATCTACAATTTCTTGCTTGTAGGCTTGGTGGCATCCCCATCTCCATCACCATCTCCACAAATGTGCCAATCGTGCCACAATTTCATTCAACACAATGGAAGTGGATGGACAAACAAAACCTCACGTGGGCATGGACACGCAAGCATATATTGTATGCAAAATTTGCTTGGGAGAAGCCCAGTTTAATGCCTCAAATGAAAGCAGGTAGTTCCAATGTCAGTGATATAACAATATTTAGTAATGGGAGGAAGGAAGGAACAACCCCCCATGAGAAAGCTGTGTTTGGGATGGAGTTCTAATCATGACTCTACACTCATATTTGAGTGTGGTGTTTGAATACAACTTTCAAAAATTAATTCCACACCTATTTTTGAAAACTCGTTCCAAGCGGAATTTTGAAATTTGAAATTTAGCATATCTGGTCACCCTCCCGGTAGTCCGGCCAATTGATCGGAACAGTACTATCTTTTTATTTTTTATTTTTTTGGACAATTGACATCTGTTATTTTTTATATTTTAAATAAAAAATATTTTCAAAATTTTTTAAATTTTTTTTATGAATTTTGAATAGAATTTTGGATTGTGTGCTTAGTTATGAATTGTAAATTTTTTAATCAAATATCATATGTCACATCAAAAATTCTAAATTCAATTCAAAACTTTTTTTAAAACTCATATCTAAACAAATTTTCCATACTTAAATCATAATTCCAAAACTCACAAACTCAAAATACAAATCTATTATCAAATAATAATTCTAAAACTCTATCCAACGCTACCTAAACAAAACTAAATTCATTTATGATTACTAGTATTATGTCGAAACACAACAGTGCAATAACATAGGCCATGTTTGATTCACAATACTGAGGTATTAATAATCCTATCAAATTAGTGTGGTATTCACTATCCACCCTATCCCATTACTAATAATCCTACAAATTTGTTAGATTAATTATGCATTGAATTAATAATCCTAAATCAAAAGGTCAAAACAAACCTAGGATAATTGGGCCACAGATTAATAATTACAATCCCATATTTTAATCCTTTCAATCAAACATGCCCATAGTGTGCAATTATATGATAAGAAAAAAGAAAAAAGAAAAAAGAAAATTAGAAATGGAAAAGGAGTAAATAGAAACACTGACACAAACACTACCTTGTGTCCAGAAATCTCTAGGGCACAATCGGAGCAAGCGAGACAAGTGTGTGTTGAGATGATCGACAACTCGCTGAGACTCGACGGGATCCAATCCGCCTTTGTCAGGGGGGAGACCGGCCGCAACTGCCTCATCTTGGGGCAAGTAATTCACGAAATTGCCACCGGAAACCAAGTTCCTGGTCGATGCATAATCTGATTGTCTGAGAGAATTGGAGAGTGTTGTTGGTTCTGTTTGGGGGGTCTTTGAATTGGGCGTATTCGTAGTCCTAGTACTACTCTTTGCTACAAATTTCTTTTGCTGTTGCTGCTGCTTCTTTCCATCAGACCTGTTTTGGGCGTAACGATTTGACATTTTAGAGAGAGAGAGAGAGAGAGAGAGAGAGAGAGGAGAGTCCGTCTGAGTTCTGATGATGGAACGAGGATTTTGGAAGGGAACTATGGCGCGGCGCCGAGGCAGTGATGAGCGTCGCTGAAATAATTGCAAATCCAGTGACTATTTTGATTGAGGGCGGCTATTAGCACTCTGACCCCTCAATTCCCACTAACTTTTTCTTTTCTTTTTTTTCTTATTTCTTTTTTTTTTGTGTGTTTTTTTTCGCTCGAATTACACTAGTAATCCGTTTAGATTTGGTCCTCATATTTAATTTTAAATTTTAAATCACATTTTAAATAAGAATAACTAAAAACATAATTACTTCATTTGAAAGATAAAATCGCCATATAACTTATCTTTTATTAATTAACTTATATATTATTTAAAACATAATGACATTTTTTTAATGAATAATATTAGAATTTTTTTAGTTATAAAATTCTATTTAGTTTGGTTTTCACAATTATTTTTAGAAATTTTTTCTAAGAAATTAAAAATTAAATTGGTAAAAAAAATTTAAAACACATTATTTTTATATAATTTTATCTTTTGAGAGAATAGAAATAATTTTTTTAATATTTATTTTCATTAAATTAGCTTTTATTTTTTTAAAAGTCAAATATGGTGACAATTTTCATATCATTATTAAATCAATCCATTAAATCAAAAAATTCAAAACTAAAAATATTTGTCTAATAAATATCCATTACATGATAACCATCTAAAAATATATGTTAACAACAAATACAACTATCTATTACATAATAATCATTTAAAAATATCAACAAACACAACCACCCATTACATGACCATCATCCAAACACATATTAAAAATTAATTTGGTAAAAAAATAAAAAAAATAAAATTGTAAAAGATTTATCATTTTTATATAATTTTATCTTTGGTGAGTAGAAATAATTTTTAAGAATTTAAAAATAATTTTTTGACATTTATTTTTCTCAAACTAGTTTATATTTTATCAAATTGACGACTTTGCCCTTGAAGTAGAATAATAATGTCTTCAATTGTTCTTATTTGAAACCAAATTTAAAATTCAGGATCAAATGTATCACAATTGAAAGGTCAGAAACTAAAGTAACACAAGTCTCAAACTATAGGGACCGTTAGTTTAATTCGCCCCCTCTTTTTTTAATTACAATTACACCTTGAAGTAAATTGTATTAGAGGACAATCTTTAATAGAATATCCATTTACCAAATAAAGACAACTCTATAATATTGTACACCCACCTTCCCCACCTAAACATATTTCACACTCACATAAACCTAACGTATTCATCTTCATCAGTGTTCCTCTTCATTATATCATCATTAAACCCGACATTCCTTTTCATCATCATCTTAAATCCAATGTATTCCTCTCTATCACCATCCTAAACCCTAAAAGTATTCTTTTTCATCACAATCATAAACCCTAAACTAGGAATCAGGGGCTAAATTGGAATGGATGTCTGTTATTTTGTTTGTTACATTGAATTGGAATGGAAAATAGTGAATTGAGGGTTAAGTTATATAGTGTTGAAAAAATTATTTATGTTCAGCAACACAATGCTGAACAAATAATTTCTGTTCGGTAACACAGTGCTCTCAAAATTGTTTACGTTCGACAACATAGTACTAAACCAACCCTTGGGCAGTTGACCGATCGAACGATCGGGTGGTCGATCGATAGTGTGATTTTGGCTCAGTTTTACAATAATGATGCAATGGTTTTGATAAAAATGGACACTATTGTTCACTGATTTCGAATCAATTAAAGAGAGTAATCGTTGTTATCGTCGTTCTTCAACAGGAAAGAGAATAAGAAGGACCGTCTTGAACCATGATGAAGAGGGTGTGCAAAATTAAGTTGGTGTGCACTGGGTGCGCTGATATTATGAATAGGGATAAATTTGATATTAAGTGGGGTGTTAAAAGAAATATTATTGAAATTTAGGTTTTAGGGTGAGAGTTCAAAAAAATGGACGGTCTAAAGAATTAAGGTATGTGCTAATAACAACCCTCTTTTGATTTTATATAGGAGTGTAAAAATGCCCGTGGCCCATGGGCGGCTTGAAGCTTGATGGGTCGTTGAACACACCAAAATTAAATACTAAACTATACCAAATTCAATCAGAATAATGGCAAGTCCAGGTATTGATTCACAAGGACTATTGTGAAATTAAATTAATTCAATCGCAAAATTCCTAAATTAATTTTGATTAAAACGATAAGATTGATTTTATACCTAAACAGCAATTAAATAAAATTGAAGAATTATATTGACAATTAAAAACTAGGGTTTGAGATATTAATTTTCAGGAAAAAAAAAATCTTAGGGTAGAGAATTCACCACTAACCACATGAATGAGACTTAACATCAACCATCAATCGCAATTCGGTTTGAATTATCCAATATTTCACAACTACAAGATTGAAATATTGATCAAGAGGGTTGTTGCATTCAATGTACAGGCACGAATCATCCCGAGTAGGACGAGTCGTTTGTTCTAAACTATGTTAGCAAAACGACCCGTCTCTCATAGCATGACTCGTCTCATACTTTGAATACAAACACAAAGAATACTAATGTATGGAAAACATTAAACAATCACAGAGAGTAAAATGCTTGAAGAGAAGAACGAAACAATTATTTATAAACTTCTAAAACATCCATACATTCATTCAAACCAAGTTACAATGAAAGCTCGTGAAAAATTCCATTACATGGCTAGGGTTTCATCAAAACCCTAGAAAAGACGACTAGCCACTCATGGAGGAGTGGAAAGAGGAAGAAGATGAAGAAGAAGCCCCCATGGAAGTGTTTTCCAAGCTTTGGTAGTATCTCTCCCTTTGGAACCCTAGCCTCCCTTTTTTCTGTATTCAATTTTCGAACCCTAACTGTGACTGATTTTCTGTCTTTTATTCGGAGCAAAATAGACCAAAAAGTCCATGCACGCGTCCCTAGGTGGGCCGCTCGTGCGGTGGTGGGCCGCACGTGCGGTGAAACTTGGCCGCACGTGCGGTGGTCTGGTGGACTCGGATTTTTCACGTCTTGCTCGGAGAATCTGATTTCGCGCCCCCTTTTGATTGAATTTTCATATTTCCTGTTAAATCTGTACAAGTGCATGAAACACATCATCTCCACTAAATAAATAAAATTAAAAGACAAAAAATGTAACCCAAGTGGCCTCAATGTGGTACCTTTCGGCCTACATCACACCCCCAAACTTACATTTTGCTGGTCCTCAAGCAAAACAAAAGAAATAAGAAAAGTAAAATACTCCCAGTCACTTTCATAGGGAACACGGTTGCATTTAGCATATGCAACAAGCCTTTAAACCACAAGGTTACCCCATGTGGACGAGTATAGTCTCGTGAGAGTTTTCAGAAATGATACCCACAAACATCAACATATTCAAATCCGCTCAACAACAATTAACCACACTACTCCACACAATAACCAACTTATGTCCCACTACAGTGTGATATTAAAAACATGATGATTCATTAAAGGCATAGTGGACAAGTATGAAGGAATCTATTGAGCTTAAACCACAATTCAGTTAATACAAAAGTAGAGTCCCCTGTACTTGTGAATGCTAGTAGACACATCATTAGTACCCTCGGTGTAAAGTGCAATCACCATACTAGTTAACTGTCCACTATAATAACCCAGCGTAACTCATAATAACACTCAACATATACAGAAGAACTAAATTGTTGCAATCAAGCTTCTAAATTTTTTTATTTTTTATTTTTATGAAAGACTGTGCAATGTCCTGATCCATTAAGCTTTCTATTCAGCCCATGTAACAAGCATTGGGCCAATGACTCCCAAACCAGACGGTTTTAGGGCACTAGGTGTAGAGACACCCCTACGGGCTTAATAACTCGAGCTGAAAAGGTTACGAATCCGAACTAGTCATTCTTTTTATTTTTCCTTAACTGTGCAATGTCTAGGTCCCTTAAGCTTTCTAATTAACTCATGTAGCAAGTATTGGGCCAATGACTCTCAAACTAGACGGTTTTAGGGCACTAGGTGTAGAGACACCCCTACGAGCTTAATAACTCGAGTTAAAGAGGCTACGAACCCAAACAAGTCAAGTTTGTTTTGTTTTGTTTTGTTTTTTTTTTTTTGTTTTGTTTTTAGAGAGAATCTTGGCTACTCATTTATTCTTTTTTGCAACTTCAACCATTATCAATGATGTACACCAGTGATTATAATAAAAAGGTCACTGCTATGATAATGTGTTCATGTGAATTAAGGCATACTCATGACAAGTGTACTAATACCACAAACACAAACAACTATCCTAGTGCAAACATCACATGTGAGTATTTACCCAATAAACCCTTTTCATACAAGCCCACGATGTTCCCCAATTAACATATGCTCATATCATTACCATACTGGCACAAAGTAAACATTAAGTGAAGTGGTGCAAATCAAGTGCAGCAAGTATAGACATGAATATTTATTACAAATACCCTCACCCCCCAACTGGAATATAACATTGTCCTCAATGTAAGCAAGTAGACATGAGATAGTAAAATGAGAAAGAGGATCTTACTAAACATCATGAGCGCACATCCAGCGAGGCAACGACAACCAAACACAGTTTTTGAATTTTTTTTAAGTACATATAAAAGAGAAAGAAAAAGAAAATAAAACAAAATGAAATGAAAGAAAATAAAGGAAATATACAGAAATCACTGATGTGGATCTGGTGATGGTGGTGGGAAATGCTGCTCAAATAGGGCATGCATCAGTGTCCGAGTCTCGAACGCCTCATCATGAACCTTAGTTCCATGCTAATCAAATTGCCGATCAAACTGATCAAACCGCTGCCCACTCGAATCCCAGTATGCATAGAAGTCAGTGTGCAAAGAGGCAACTGACTGCTGATACCCATCAAATGTCGCCCGTGAATAATCCCGGTCAGCCTGGTAATCGTTCCGGAGATCAACCATAGATTGCTAAAGGGCGGCTTGATTAT